AACAAAAATCAGTTGCATTTCTATGTAGATACAATGAACAATCTATAAAGAAAATAACCCATCTAGAACAGCATCAAAAAGTACACAAAATACTTAGAGATAAATCTGATTAAGGAGTCAAAAGACTTAAATACTGAAAAGTACAAAACCATGTTGAAATACATTAAAGAAGACAAAAATGGAAAAATATGCTGTGTTTAGGTATTGAAAGACTTACTATTTAAAATGTCTATACTATTCAAAAACAATCTACAGATTCAGTGCAATCTTTATCAATATTCTAAATGCATATTTTCCAGAAATACACAAAATAATTCTGAATTTCATGCAGGTGACAACCCCAAATAGCCAAGTGATCTAGAGAAAGAAGAAAAATGTTAAATGACTCACATTACTGATTAATAGACTTATTATAAAGCTACAGAATCCAAAAAAGCATGGTACTATCTTAAAACAGAGCAATGGAAGTGAACAGAGAGCCTCAGATGTGCATGTATAGTCAAACAATCTTCAATAAGAATGCCAATGGTGTACAATGGGGAAAATACAGTATCTTCAAAGAATGGTAATTAGGAAGTTGTTTATACATATTCAAAAGAATGAAAGTGATCCATATTTCACACCACACACACACCACACAAAAATGGATTAAAGATCTAAATATTAAAGACTTGAAGTCACAAATTTCTAGAAGAAAACACAGGAAAAAAATCCCTATAAACAATGACATTGGCAATGACTTCTGGAGAGGCAACAAAAACCAGATTCAATGAAATCAAAGACAGTTGGAACTGCATTAAGGGAAAAGCCTTCTACACAGTAAAGAAATCAACAGTTTTCTGAAATGGTAACCTGGGAAATTGGAAAAAATATTTCCAGTATGTATGATAAGCATAACTTAAGGAATAACTACACTTCAACTGCAAAGAAACCAAGCAACCTGTTTGAAAAATTCTCTAAAGACATAGAAATGACCAATATTTATTGCAAAGATGCTCAACATGACTAATTACAAGGAAAATGCAAAGGTGGCATTATATATAAATAAATTGTATATAAATAAATAAATGTATGGTGTTGTTTCCCATCTTTGGTACAATACCTAACACCCAAGGAGAGGAGGAGGGACTATAAAAATTATCAAGATTTGATATGCATATCCCCAAAATGAATGTAATTATTATGTATCATGAACATATACTAGTAAAAGAATACCTGACACCGGTAATTTAAAGGAGAAAGTTTTATTTTGGCTCACATTTGAGCATTCAGTTTGTGCTTGGCTGGTTCCAAGGTAGAAACATTATGGCGATGGGCCTGGCAAAGCACAACAGCTTAGTTCATGGTGGCCAGGAAGCAAAGCAGGAGAACAGTGCCAGGAAGGAAGGGGAACCAGACACAGTGCCCAAGGTCTCGCCTCCATGACCCACCCAGACACACCTGAAAATGTGCTTTACTCATTCCCTAGGCAGCTCTCAAGCCAATCAGGTTGACGATACAGCTTAACTGTCTCAAAAATGTGATACACATACTTGGGACTGCATACTTATTTCTTGGCATATGCTCCTAAGGCTTCCGGAAACTCCAGATTGATTGAAGTGCTTTTTAATACGCTGATGCGATGACTGGTGGCAGGTGATCCCTGGCCAGCTTCAGGACAAAGACTGGTAGCCAGAAAGACCAAATCAGGATTTAGAGCCCCAAACCCCAATTCCCAAACCTCTAAGTCACTAACCAGATCAATCACTCTCACATAACGAAGCCACCATAAAAACCCAGAGGGGCTGGGTTCAGAAGAGCATTTGGAGAGCTGAACAGATGGAGGATCCTGGAGTGAGCTACACCTGGAGAGGGCATGAAAGCTCTGTGCCCTCCTCTCATATCCTGCCCTGTGTATCTTCCATCTGGCATTCATCTGTATCCTTTGTAGTATCGTTCTAATAAATGGATAAATATAGCTAAGTTATGTTCCTGAATTTTACAAGCAATTCTGAGACAGTGAGGATGGGGTCATGAGAACTCCTGATTCTACAGCTCATTGGTCAGTAGGACAGATGACAATCTACTGGTGACTGGCATCTGAAATGGGTGACAGACTTTTGGGACTGCAGACAAATCTATGGCTCTGAAACTGTCTCAGTGCAGATACTGTCAGAATTCAGGTGAGTTAGAAGACATGCAGCTGGTGTCCGCTGGAGAATCGGGGATCACAGAGGAATTGCGTAACCGGTGTGAGAGTCCAGAGTGGTGAAAAATTGAGCTGTTCTTCTTTATAGTAACAATTCAAAACTACAATTAACTATCACCTTGTAAATGTTAGCATGGCTTTACAAAGAAACAACTAACAAGTGTTAAGACCTAGGGAAATTAGAATCTTTATGTACTCTAGTTGAGATGTCAAGGGGTGCAGGGACTTTAGAAAATAGCATGGGGTTCTACATTGATCAGGAGCATATGATCTAGTAATCGGACATTTTGGTACTTATTTAAATAAATAAATACTATATTGTAAAGAAATAGCTGCAAGGAGCTGGGGATTTGGTTCACTGGTTCTGCCGCCTGCATTGAAAGCGCAAGGACCCGAGTTCTATCCCCAGGATCAAAAAAAAAAAAAAAAAAAAAAAAAAAAAAAACCATAAAGCTGTATTATGCAGCATTAAAAAGAAAGGTTATTTAGAAATTATGCTACAACATGGATGAGCTTTGAAGACTATGCGACTTGAGATAAGCCAGTCAAAGAAAGATAAATTCAGCATGATTCTTCTTACAAGAATTATCTAAGTCAGCCAAACTTATAGAAGTGAAGTAGAATGGTAGTTGCAGGGCCTGAAGAGGGTGGAATTAGAGAACTGCTAAGGGTGTAGTGTTTCATTAATACAATTCTCCAGGTCTGTTGTATAACACTGTGCTACAGTTAACAATACTGTACCATACATTTAAAAATATAAGATGATAGATCTGATGTTATTTTTTTTTTTTTTGGCCACAATTTTACAAAACCACCTTTCATCAGACACCACCAAGGGCAGTGCTTTTACTTCCTGTCATATCAAGTGTGCTCGGGCTAGGCTGTCCTTAGAACTACAGTACTCTTTCCAGTCAAGCATCTAGCCAACATACAACTTTTCTAGCTTACCCCACACAGAGCTAGGAAAAGGCCCTTCAGAGAGCCAGAACCTATCATGTGAACCCCCACAGACCTCCCGAGTCTAAGACTATGAGAAAAGGATCCTGGTAGGGAATGGACACAGGATTTGGCATACATCTTCACTCTTAAGTACAAATGTTTCAGGACTCAAAAGAAAACGCATGTGTCCACCTTTGGGTAGGACTGAAATTAAAACCGTTAAATAACACAGTGTGGAGGATAAAACTAATGTAGTGTAAATATCTATGGAAACAGGTGTTGCTATGGGCCTGCATCTGCACAGAACATTTGAGGTCTAACTAACTTATATTCAAAAGTTCTAAATGAGCAATTAGAACACAGCTCATCCATTTCTCTGACCGACTGTGCATTGTGCGCACACTGAACAAAATTTTTTCAACAAAAAATAAACACACATGATGGAACTTGAGGACTCTTTTGGGTGTTTGATGTGATTTCAAACAGAGTAATTTGGGAGTACTCTCATAAAGTTTTATGGATTTTATTTTCTATCCATTGTACTTTTACCTTTTGCAAGTAAAGAACTGTTCCTTTCAGGACAGCATAAAAGGTTTTCCATCCTCGTTTTCCTCTTGGAGCTGGAGGGAAAAAAACATAAAATTTTATTTGAAAGAAATCAGCACTTTGGAAAGAGAAACTAAAACATAATGTGATGACTGTGTTCCATCATTCCCATCTTATTAGCTATCAGAATGAATAATGATGAGAAGTAAAACTTTCTTGAGCTTTTTGGTGTGCCAGTGAGTACTTTACCCACATACTGTCTTACTTATTCCTCATATACTCTTGCCACGTAGGTATTATGGACTCTCTTCTTTTTATAAAATTGAAGCACAGAGAAATAATCTGCTCACAGTCACACGACAAGGAAGAGGAAAAGCTGGAAATGGAAGCTAAGTAGCATAGGTCTACACTTATCCCGCCTGAAGAGATGACTTACAGACTGGGAAACCAAAAAAGCCAGATTGGAGCTTCAAGACTAAATTATGAGCAGACCATTCATCCTCTCTTGGCACCCCCCCCCACTGGCCTATAGCCTTAACTGCTGTCACTACTATGGCAACTTGGGCAGATCTATGCTGTAGATCTTGCTGCAATGGAATTTTTTGTCTAAGCTTCTTTCAGTACCTGGTGAATGGCTTGAGAGTGTTCTCATCTTTGGAATGCACAGAACCTAAGGCAGACATCAGGCACCACTGCAGAGACCCTCCAAATTAATGCCTTCAGAAGCTTTATGATTTCTTGTTTATTTTTTGGAGTGTAAAGCAGAATATCTCTATCTACTTAATAAACTCTTAAAATTGTCCTAGGAAAAGCAGTTAAATCAGTTTCCTGCCTAGTCTTAATGGTAACAGATAAATTCCGTAGGTGGATAATGCTATCACCCCTATGTCATTTTTCTAAGTATCTTGGTCCAAATAAATAAGGAAGATCATTTGTTCATACTTCTTTTCAAATATCTTACTGTCTTTGGGACATTTAACTTGAAAATCTTATTTGTTTAGGAAGTATACCCTTAAGCAAATCATTTAAATCTCATTTGACTGAACATTTGGAATTCTTAGGCTTGGAAATGAGGTACTATCCTCCTACAGAACTCCAGCAATCCTGCCAGCACCACACTGAGATATCCACCTGGTAAGAAGGGCCTCACAACATCCGCTCTGCAGGTTTTCAGGGGAAATTAAAAAAATACCATCCCTTCTGTTTCCACTGGGGGAGGTTTAAAGGTGTGTACTTGACAATAAATGATCAAAATAAGCATACTGTAATCTTCTTTTTAAAGACCAGAGACTAACATAAAAGAGAACCACAGATATTTACTCCACTGTTCAACAGATGACAAATTCTGACACTGTTCGCATGAGCATTCATCACATAGAAGTGACCTGGAGCCAAGGGAACTGTCAAAGAGGAGGGTCAGAGGGAGCAGGGTTCAGTGGAGGTAGCCGAGGAAAAGCAGACTAGCTGGTTTCTAGCCCTCTCTAGACTTTATCTTGCCTTACACCTATCCTTTCACCCAACCCTAACTCAGAAACTGCTGCCCAGTCACACAGTGTATCAGGACTTCTGCTGCTTTATTTCAAAATGCAGGTATCTGCACCACTTAAGGCACAGCACTGGCTAAATGATGGAAGGAACTTATGAGAAAAACTTTTTTTCTGTTTTTCTTTTAATAAGATTATAGGTCCTGGGAATTTAAATGCTTTCTTTGAAGCCTTACAGTTCATTTAGTAGGATCTTGAGACCGTTTCAGTTCACAGATGTGCAAATTCATTTTTCAGCTTTCAAAGTAAAGTCTTCCCATGGACTCGTGTAAATGCTCTTTGTTATTACTACACTAAATCTACTAGAAACAGACTCCAAAGAGCTCTCCAGGTAAGATGTGATGTTCAGCATCACTCTTGAGTTACTAATACTATCCCACTCTCCACTGCACCACTACCGACCCATCTTTCACAGAAGAGAAGGGATTAATCTTGTCTAAATTATAACTTAGTTGTTTAAGACACAAATGAAGCCATACACAACAACTCAACAAGACAACTTAGAAGTTAACATTCATCAGTATATTGCTAATGTGCTACAACAAAGTGCTCTGAGTGTCTGACATGTGCCAGTCCACCTAATTCACATCATGATCCTAAGAACAAGGTACAATTCCATGTGTGTCTTAAATCTGTGTTTGTATTCTTCACTCTGGAGCTCAAAGCTGTGCAATTTTATCTCCAGTACTGTTTGGCGCCCGCAGATCCAGAAATGCCTTGTAGGGTTAAGGGTCCTGGGGTTAGCTTACCTCCCTAGAGTTGTACACTGATGCTTTATTCCTGGCCTCCCTAGATTTGCCTTTGACTGTTATGGGTTCATCCTGTTATTTAAAAGATGTTTAAAAATATCTTCTCTATCGCTTTTAGATGTTTTATAATGGGAGAGTTCAGAATCTGTAGGCATCATATTGTGAAAAGTAGACTCTAGTTCTTTTTCTAAGAACTTATTCATGAACTTTGTAATCTAGAAAGAATTCATTTTGAGCAGGGGTGAGGACAAGGAGAAATCTGATCAAGGGAATCAGTGAGGAGGCTTTTGCAATAGCCCAGATAGGGAGAAGGGGCCAAACACAGATGGACGTGTACAATAAATTAAGATTTTTAAAAAGTGGAAGAAGAAAAGGTAGTAAAGCTAAACATCTATACTGCAACGTTGTATCCACTGGGCTAGCACGATGCTCATACAAAGTCTGATCCAAAAAACATCTCTCAAGTAGGTAATGCATGGATTCCACATTAACTTCTCCATAATTAATTACATTTGCATTCCTCAGATATAAGCTGCCAAGGAGGTTGTCCAGCTAAAGATTTCAAAGCTATCATAAAGGACAGTTAAGCTGAGGAGACACATTCTGAGGAGACGAGACATCAAGGTAGGGAAACCATCAGGTGGCAGTCCTTTACAATGCTCAGATCTGTTGTTCCTGTGAGATGAACACGGAGGCAGGAAAGTAGATGATGACACAGGAGGGAAATACTAATCTGGGGTTTCCTCTAATGTCTTAACACTAACACCTTTACTGCTTACAGCTACAAATCACAAAAGAGAGATACAACACTGTATCTGTCCTCTGTGGTGTTGCTGGTCTAGCAGTTTTGCAGAATGATAATACAGTTATTGGCATCAATAAGTACAAGACTAGTAACAGTCGCAGTTAATGTTTAGTGAGCACATACTGTTTCAGTTCCAGGACTTGACATGTACAAATTAAAGCCCACAGGCCAAGAGAACCACAGCCACAACTCTCATTTGTAGATGTGAGTTTGAGATTCCACCTGACATGCAGCACTTGGTTTCCCACAGTGGCAGGCACTTGCACTCAGGTTTGTCTACAGGGAAAGCCCCTTTAACCATAATCAGGAAACGATGTCTTGGGTAACTCTGAGATCCCAAGGTGATCAAACTGTTTAAGAGCTAATTCTGCAGGGACACTAACCTATCAGGAAACACAATCCTAAACAGACTGAAGGAACATTTACGGTAAACAGTTTGTACAACTGTACTAGTATGTCCTCCTTGAGTCTCTCAGTACTGTTTGGGAAGTGCTTCCTGTCCACTGTGGGTTAAAATAAAAATGAAAAAATGTAAGAAGCCTCTGAGATTGTTATTCTGTATCACACATAGCCATGGACACACACACACACACACACACACACACAAAGAGAAAATAATTTCTGCAATAGAAAAACTGGCAGTTGCTCCAAAAATGACTGATATTGGAACCAGCACCAATTCTTCAAAATTTCAAACCAGTTATTATTTCTTTGTCTTTATTACACATTGGAAGAACTCTTTTTGAAAATATAAAGTAATGTGAATAATTTAGCTCTGTTCTTCATAAAACAGTGAAAAGCTAGCTAGAAGTGAAAGAATAAGCTATTACTTGCTTTAAAAAAGAGCACAATATAAAATATCCCTCAGCAATAAAATACTCAGTAACGGATATGAGCCAAAAAAGTTGTTTTTTTAAATCCCCAAAGCTATACTCTTACTACAAAGTTTATATTTACATGTCCTACTCCCCAATTTTAATCTTTTCAAAGTTGAACTGAAAAAGGACTATATTGAAGATCCTAATGCTTCACTATTTCTATTTTATTAAAAGGAAAGTGTGTTTTTCCTACTTCAAAATTGTGCCCTATTTTTGGCCATTCCTTATTTTTCATTCCCCAATCATCTTTTTCCTTTTCTTCAAGTTTAGCATCATTAATACAAAGCTTCGAAGATATATTTGTTATCTTCAAAAAATTTTCCCACTGTGCCATGTGAAAGAACAAAAATGACTTGCTTTTCCTCAGAGTTAAGGTCGGGAAATCATACCCCATCAATGAGAAGGAATTCTCTCTCAGAGCCCAGTGAAAATCACAGCCTAAAGGCTAAAGTAAAGTCCCTGCCAGGCCAAGAAACAGGGAATATGGGGTACAACAGTTCTAACGCAAGATAACTTTCAACTGCTTTAGGTTCATGAAGAAGATTATTTAAATATACTGCCGTTGACAGCATTCCAGAAAAAATTCAGCAACTTGCTGAACTTGGAGACAGTGTTGAAGTCAGCAAAAGTTCTTCTATACCAATGCAATGAAGACACCTCTATATTCGATTTGTTAAGGGCAGGAGAGATTTTATAAGTTGCTGTATTTCCCTAGTGATGGTATCTGAAACGAAGGCAACGTTCTCCAAGTATCTCGCCTGCAGGATGAAGCTGCAGTCTCTCAGTCAGCAGCCATCTGACACCGTACACCATGGAAGCAGGTGACAACTCAGGCAGGGAAAAATTGTTTTGCAATAGATTTGCAAAGGATTTAAGTACATTCTTATATGACAGACTAGTGGATTAATGTAACCCCTAGCTTTCTTTTACCAAATAACCTCAGGCACCAAAAGAAATGCTGTACTACTCAATCTTAATTAACAGAACAGAGCTCAGGCACTTTTAAGTTGCTGCTTGAAGCAATGGGGTCCAAGCTGAGCATAACAGGTTACCAGTGGGAGATGAGTCACGCAGTGCTATGTAAGCAACTGATAGTAT